TTTCAAAGTGATTCAATATCTATCTATAGGCTTTACCTTAAATTCCTTTAAAAAATCTAAAGTCAACCAAATGTTCACATCCAGTCATTTCTTTTCTGATCCAACTATAACATCTTTTTCATCTATTCCTCCATCTATTCCCTCCATAATTACACAAACCCTTTCCCTAATAATTTTTACTTTTCAATATTACACTTTCTCAGACAAAACTTTCGCAAGAGAGTTACACCTAAACATTTCTATACAATTTACAGCTCTTTAAATAGCTTTTCCTTTTATTAAAAATTCACTTCAGTCTTCTTGCAATCATTAGAGATCCAAGGTAGTGAAAGAATATAACCTGATGCTAGTGTTCATTGCTCATGTCTAATAAGGGCTTGAAACAAACTACAATGCATATGTCTAAGCAGATAAGGATTCCCTGATTTTACAAATCACCAACTGTATATATCATGCACTGAAAATATAAGAGTGGGAATAAGTCCTAGATACTGGTGAAAAAGAGTACAAGCTTCTATTAGGTGTGAAGTCTAAGATACAGCTTCCTTTTCTTGCCTTTTTTTTTACACTTTCTATGTGTAGTGATCTTTGTTCATGAATCAGTCAACTATAAGCAGAGGGAAAAAAATATCTCTAGGCATAATTATTTTCCCTAATTATTCTGTTCATTCTTTTAAATCCAATTATAACTAGTGTTATTAATGCATCAATGAAACAGCTCATGTAATTGAAACTTATTATTAGCCCAATTAACGATGGGTGACTGACCAGACTGACCAGTCAGACACACACAATCTGATCCCACCCATCAGGACAAGACTCATGATGTGATGAGATGTTAAGCTACCAGCTTCTGGTAATATTTGCCTTAACATGAGAGCACATCACCCATCACTAATGGGATAATTAACAACCTTTCTCAGGTGTGAGTGCAGTCTGAATAGTTAATAAAATTATAATGATCTGAACTAAAATAAGTGTAAAAAAATATATATATATATAAAAAATCATCCCATGTGCACACAGCTCTGAACTTCAATGTCCTTTATGGGTTTGCAACAGAGAAGGAAAGAATGCATCTAAAAAAACATTCTCTTGCCATTAAACACAACACAATGACAAATAAATAAAAGCCTTGCTCCCAGTGATAGCCAGTGCACATCTTGCACTTACTCTGAGTTGATCTGCTGTTGCATGGTCATATTCTGAGCAGCTTCAGAGGAAGGAGTTGACTCAGGTACAGGGGGAATGGGCTGGAAGTTTCCGTTCACAAATTCCGAGAAAGTGGCATCAACATCATTGAGTGTTTCCCATACCATGTTCTCGTGGAGGAATCCCTGGTCAGTCAGAAGCTGGTACAACTGGTCCTGCAAAGATTAAATGAAAAATGCTAATGTCTAAGCTATACAAGTCCAACAAATCACAACGTAACAACTAGGATTACATAATAAAGTATGGTCTGCATAGTAAATATCCCATGTTCATCAGCTGTAGTCTACTTGCCAATTATCTAAAAGGAATCAAGAAAGTAGCTCTAAAGGCCTTATACCCTAAGTTCCCATACATAACCATAATATATTGCCAACAGCAAAAAGATTTATGAATTATTTAATAAATAATCATAACAAAAAAAGACAGAGAAAAAGAAGAATCAGAATTTTAATTACAGTCAAAAATAGAATTAAGATTTGAGCTGGTGGTGGAGGTGAAATGAGTATATTACACTTGAAGACATATTTCATGTGACTGCACCCCTCTTAATTGCTTACTTATGATGTAAATTGGGCTTATAATTAACAACACAAATATTAATGAATCTCAATCTCTCTCTCTCTCTCTCTCTCTCTCTCTCTCTCTCTCTCTCTCTCTCTCTCTCTCTCTCTCTCTCTCTCTCTCTCTCTCTCTCTTCCACTCACTCACTCACTTGTTAATAGTACATATATATTCACACATATACATTCTCTCTCTCTCTCTCTCTCTCTCTCTCTCTCTCTCTCTCTCTCTCTCTCTCTCTCTCTCTCTCTCTCTCTCTCTCTCTCTCTCTCTCTCTCTCTCTCTCTTTCTCTTTCTATCTCTCTCTCTCTCACACACACACACACACACACACACACACACACACACACACACACACACACACACACACACACACACACACACACACACACACACACACAGAAATCATATTACAAATATTTTAGAATCATATTCAAACTCTATAATCATTATTAATATGATCATTATTATCATAATCATTATCATTACGATCAATATTATTATAACCATAATTATTATGATAATTATCATTATGATCATTACCATGATTACTATTATCATTATTTTTCTTGTTACTGGTACTATCATTCCCCCTCAAGGCAAGTACACTGCAATTCAGTAGTTAGACCCTTGGTTTTTACACCTTTCATTACTTCCACAACAATCCAATGGGTAGGTTAAAAACTAAATTAGGGGGAGAGGGAGAAAGAGATTATAGAGGAGTATGAGGAGAAAAGAGGAGAAAAGAGGGGAAAGGAGGGGAAAGGAGGGGAAAGGAGGGGAAAGGAGGGGAAAAAGGCTTAAAGTGGAAAAGGGAGAAGGGAGGGGAAGGGCACTTAACTGGGAGTTTGCCATTGGGAACTACATTTGGGCCCTCTTTTCAGTTTTGTGTGGACTACATTTTGATGTTATTTTTCTGAAATTACAAGCCCTATACATTCCAATGTTTTCACTCGCGATGGCAATGAAGCATCCAGATCAAATGGGTTAAATCATAAAGGAAACTAATCTAAACCAGAAAATACTAATCTTTATTTTTTCTTTTCTCTTTTTTCTTTCTTTTCGGGAAAATCTGGTTATGAATGGTGAGCTGTGGATGGCAATATCAGTACAAATTTATTGCAATCATATAATTCTAGCATGAATACAACATATCGGTTCAAATTTAAGAATTATAGAAGCACATAGTAAAATAAATGGGGGGGGGGAGGGATGCGGGTCACAGGGTGGTTATAATTTTCAAGGAGGTTTATATGTAACAATATGCACATAAGGTTAAACATTTTAATCAACATTTAATAGGACTAAACCCATTTTTATAGAAAGGAAAAATTATTAGTTAACCAGGTCTAAATCATTTTCTATAATGACTTTTAGAAATGTGGTTGTTGGGCATGGAGAACCAGCATAGAGTAAAGTAAGTATTAAGTTATGTACTATCATCTTCACTATGAAATAATCTACTTGCTTGCTAGTTCAAAATTTTAAAATCTGTCTCTTACACGGCCTTCATACTGAAATATTCTTTACAAGCTTTATAAGGTTATTACCAGATAGTCTCAATGGAAAACATAGTTGATGTGCAAATGTACAAAACTCTCACCAAATATTTCACATAAACCATTGTGATTTTCATTTTTTCTGATATTGGTATGAAAGTGTTCTATGGACACTGACAAATGCACAATATCATTATTAAAAGCTGTAAGCATGTTTGCAATATGCAAAAGTCCATACAGGAGTACCTGGCACTAATTACCAATGTACATAGTTTACCTGCTGGCACTTATGAGCTTGCTCCTCCCAAGAAATAACCCCGGTTGGGCTCTAATAGGAGTCTGGTAGTTTCCTCATTTGTTAACATACACTATAGGATACCTAACTTGAAATGTCCCTCTACCTTCCCCTTGCCTGTCCTAGAACAGTCCCCTTAATAGAGAAAAGGGAGATGAGGAAGAGGAAACAAGGGGGACTGAAAGAGGAAAGGAGGATGAGTAAGGGAAACGGAGAAGGATGGGGGAGAAGATAAGGAGGAAGAGGAGGGAAGTCGGTAGAGGTAGATGTAGGACTGAAAGTGGGAGAGGAGGGAATTTCAGGAAGATCTGGGAGTGAGAGGAGGTGGCAGAGCAGGAAAGGGAAAAGCATAGGGAGAAAGAAAGGAATGGAGAGTGAAAGGGAAAAGAATGAGGACAGGGATAGATAAGAGGAGGAGGGTAAGAGACGGAGAGAGGAGGGAGAAGTACCTTTTATCTATCTATTTATTTATTATTATTATTTTTATTTATTTATTTATTTATTTATTTATTTATTTTTTGTTCCATGGATTTTCCCACTTGTGATGATAATGAGGATGATAACATTAATAATAACAATAATCATAACCACAGCACATGAGAATAATCCAAGTAATAATAAAAAATAATAACAACCTAGAAGAAAAATCCACATGCAGTAACAATAATGCGTTCTTCTCAAACATGCACATGAGGTTGACCTGATATACAAAGTAGTTACTTCGGCCTTAGCTACTGGATATTTACCCCTCTCTTATATATGGTTGAGAAGTGGTTGTTTCTGAAGAGAACCGCAATCTCCTCCCTTTGTAAAGCTGACCCGAGTTCAAATAAGCCGTGGATTGTTAATTGCGATCCACTGTTTGCCATAAACTCCTCACACAACATTGCTGTGAAACAAAATAAGGATAACCATGTGTACTTGTCATAGTCAAGCTTTAGTCTGTTAATTAGCATAAAAGCACTGAATACTTTCTTATCTCAATAAATCCATGCGAGTTTAAGATTAATTATGTAAAGTTTTATTAAAACAAATACAATTCAAAAGAATACACAGCCATATCAACAATATCACATGTAATAATATAGTTAATTAGCAGAATTTTAAATTTCAACTTTGAACTACATTTTTGTACATACATTGCTATTTATCATATTTTCTTATCAATTATTACAAACAATACATCTTTATTAACTACAATTTGGGATATGATGCATTTTAAGTGCATCTCTTTCAAAAACTCATATACTATGAGTTCATACTTCCAGTCTTAGGGCCATATTCACTTATAAATAACAATTAACCTCTGGAAAGTGCAATTACACTATTTCATCCCACTCTGTTGTGTGCGATAAATCAGAAGAAAAAAAATTATGCATCATTATTAGCTTGAAGATAAATATTCAGGCTATAATCTGGTTCACCAACTCACAGCAGGATCTTCCAGGTGTGCTAAGTGGTGCAGAGTCAGCTGTTAGAGGGAAAAATTAGAAGTACAGGAAACACACTTAACCTGCTCTCCATGCTCTTGGTTATAGCATAAACAACTGTTGGGTAATGAGACTAAAAAGAAGCTTTAAGATTACTTTTGAGAGACTTTTTCCTCAATGACCACAATCAAACAAAAAACAAGTAAACTACTTAGTATATAAAACGTAGAGCAGACTCAACTGCACTTGATGGAACATATGAATGACAGTCAAGTCATGAAGTGATTGGAGTTCAACTATCATGAGTAGATTAAGGGAAAAAAAAAAGAAGAAAAAAGGAAATCCGCCTAGCCTAAGCTGTGACTTGCACTCCATAAGTTAAAAAGTAACCTTAGCTGATGGTGAGTCTTTTTTTTTTTTTTTTTTTTTTTTTTTATGAAGAAGTTATATCTTAATTTTTTTTCAGAACTGATCCACCATGTGACCACCATGCCATGTTTTGTTTTTTTTAGCGTGAGGAGCATATAATGTGAACATGACATCATGAAAAAAATATGGTTAAGGACCTAGGTGACAGGAACATGACTTTAAGAGAATTTTAGCTACGGGCCAGAGTGACAGGATTGACTCACCATGTGTGAACAAAACTCTTGGAGGGTGATTAGATTCATTGGGGAAATTAGGGAGGGTTTTTTGTATTATTCCTATCAGCAAACAAGTGTGGAATGTACCATCTGTGAGAGTGGCTACTCAAGTAAGCCTTATGCCCGGATTTTGGGTCATGTGCAGGCAGGGAAGAACCCGGATCCAAGGGGTTAATACCATGACACTGGTTATATCATAAAATAAAGTCATCATATGATCTGTAGTCTTCCCTTGCTTGTTTCATTTATGCCAAAATATTCTAATAGATAATTCGACTTTAAACTATTCTCTTTATTCTTTGAGTGCCTCATTTGAATATGTTTAAATTGAGCTTTGTTTTGCAATATCATGTTGTTCAACTTTACCCCATGACCAAATAGCAATTTTCTTTTTTGTGGAGAAGAGGTTCACTTTGCCAACTGCTACAAAATTCAGCAGCAGTACTCAAAGTATATAAATACTTTAAAGCAATAAAAATATGAGAAACAATAAATCTTATGAATTACTTTACTTCCATTTTACATAACTGTATAATCTATAATAACAAATATCCTAATAAAATATCTTATCACATACAAAATATACAAAAAGGGAAATACTTCTTTATATTGGATATAGACATAGATACAGATTTAGATATAAAAACAGAAGAAGACAGAGACAGCTATGATATGAATATGGGTACAAATATATAGATGCAAATGGACAGACAAATTGGTTTTACTTTACAAACACCTTCCTATGACAATGCCTTGTTAGGCAGGCGGAGACCCAATTACCCAAGTAGATGTCCTTCCAAAATCGGACCATAGCCAGAACTTGAACCTATATGCTTGTAGACACACCTGATCCACAGTTACACATTACCACCATACAACAGCAGCTCCCATATATACAGATACTAATAAGCATCAATATATGTAGGTATAGTAGCAAATATACACTGCAAAAACAGTAACTTTTTTTTTCTCTCTCTCTCACCTTTAACAAGCAAGTCGTTGTTGTTGTTCTTGACAGCTTCTTCCCTCCATGCAAAGATATTGTTAGTTAGCTGATTATAGGAGAGGTCACTGATGACAGGGGACACTTCACTGGAGGGATCCACAACCCAACCGTGGTACAGCATGATGCCCAACAGGTCAAACACACACAGCTCACCCGTAAATTCAAAATCTCGTACTCTGATACAAGGGAAATTTAAAAAAAAGACATGAGACATTGAAAAGAATCTTTAAAATAAATGAAAATGGGTTTGGTATATCATATCACTCAATATTCCAATTATCATAACAATAAAAAGATAATGTAAAAAATGCTTTCCTTTTTCTTTCCCTTTAAAAATTATGCACATAGCCCTGTTACAAGTTAATACCAATTCCTTTTATAGGTGGTAATACAAAGAACAAAATCTTAAAAGTTAAATTTCTGAATATTCATTACAAAATATATGCAATTTTTTAAGGTAGACAAAACCATATATAACTAATAAATTTTTTACTGAATTTACCCTTCTCTAAAACTATCTCATTCTCTTTATTTCTAAACGTAGCAAATAACACTTACCCTGAAAACTTAATATTCACATCAAGGCCTGTTAACAGCTTGTGCAATATACTGATTGCATCTTCTGTATTCTGTTCCAGGTGTCTCCTCATCTCCAAAGGCAGAGAGTTGCGAGGCAGGTCGAACAAGGCGTTGCCAACCATCAGCACCAGCTCTCCACCAGTTATCTCCGTGCGGTCAGTTGGAAGTGTAATCTGGCCCTGCGGAATAAGGCGTTTTCATTTTTGATTATAGAGATTAAAAAAATCATATATGATCTAATATCTTTGCTTTACAGAAACAGACAATTCAAAATAATCTAAACATGCCAAATTTTGAAAGAAAATTTAATCAATTACAAATTCCTACAATACTAAGCACTGGAATCATAAAATACCATACTTTTTTTTCAAAAGGCAAGAAAAATGCCTCCAATGTTTGTTTACTTTCAAATATATATCTTAGGAACTAAGGTAATTTTCTTGTAAATGAAGCACTAGGTCTCGGCTATAAAATCATTATAAGTGTGACAGAGAAATATTAATTTTCAGTTCACAGCATACAGTAAGCTTTCACAAATGGCTGGATGGGCTGAAATTGGTCCCTGAGGTCTAAGATAATGAGTGGTCATAATGACCTATTAGTGATTACTATCATCACTTTGATACATTATACAGTTTTGAGTGTGTAATAAAATACTATGCACCTGGAGGGAATCATGGACAGTGACTGGTCGGAAGCACATATCACCTAAGCTCCCATTTAAGTGCAATATGCCTATGAGAAACAATTGTAGTATCTGTTTCAATTCCATTTCTTTTGACTAAGAGGTTGCACTCCTCTTTCATTCCTACCAAACTTATTTGTTAATATATCATTCAAATTAACATCCATATGCTCATGTGTTCACAGATTATAATCAGATCTGTTCTTCTGTTATGATAATGTTGAAAATTGAAAAATACCAAATTAGATCTAAAAGCATAAGCACTTTAAAAAGGGTATTAATAAATGTTAAAAAAAACTATTCTATTTGAAGTCAAGGGTAATATTTTTTGCTTCCAGAATGTATTTTTGAAGTAGGTAAGTAAACATAACCAAATGAGACCAAATACAAACTCAAAACAACATAATTATTTGTGTTATCTGATAAAAACTATACACATTTGTAAGCAATGTATGACTACTGCTGGTGATACTGCATTAAGATAACTAAGTTTAATACCTGCTGAGAGGCTGTTTTCCTGAACATTTCCTCAATGTGCCTACTGTCAATTATTGGGATATATATAGTCTATGTATAATATAGTTTACTGCCTATTATGCGGAGTGTTTGGTCACATTTTTTAACATCCTCATTAAATAGTTAATTCTTTACATTTTGATACAGCCCTTACTGAGAATAAATACATAGCAATACAACCATTGTGTATTACCAGTAACGTAACTGTAAGATATATATATGAAATAAGTAAACTAAAATACATTTTAACTCTGAGAGAGTTTTGCCTCTATATGGAAGTATTCTTTTAACCCCTTGGTGCCGGGTGACGCCGATCGGCGTGTAAACAAAGCGCTCGAAAGCTGGCGTGCAGCCGAACGAGCCGGCGGCGCGCCAAAGCGCGGCGAGCCAGTGATTCGGGCTGATGTCCCCTACTCACGCGCTCAAAGTCGGCGCGCCGCCTTTGTTTGTTTAAGCGTAGAGTTTTTGTTTTGTTTTGTACACCCGGCGCCATTGGGTTAAGGATGAAATTAAACTGTATCTCGGATATTTACTACATTTCATTACAATCTGGCTCTCTACTGTTCTGAATCTGAAAATTATTCATTATTATACATGAAGAATAAGCATATAAATTCTTAGCACTTTCTACTACATTCTCTAAAGATTGAAATATCACTTTATCTAAATATAGGTACTAGGAAATACTATGAAGATGTTCAGGATCTCAAAAACTATCAATACAAACAAATGAAGTCAGGCACTAGTACAATATTACACTAAGTAAGGCTTTCATTCTATAATGTAAACATAGTTTTATAGTTCCTCAAAAACAAATTATAGGCCTTACCTTTAACAACATAACATTTACTATAGCAAGCAGAGGACAAGGACCATTATTGTTCTGCGTGATGATCGGCACCTCAATATCCTGCCACTTGATTTTCTTGATTTTGTGCACCACTTCAGACGGATCGAGAGGGTGCGGCTCAGGGCTGCGATTTTCTGAGCTCTGAGTACCGGAAGGCGGGGAGGCTTCTTGCTGTTGAGAAGAGGTGGCCTGCGGAGGCTTTGGAGGCATTTCTTCTACATCCGGAAGAATGCCCATCGACGGCAGCACTGACTCCTCCTTGCCTGATTCTCCATTAGCACCACTAGTGTCCATTTGACTTTTGCCATCTTTGTTTAGGTCTTCATTTTCAGTTCCTAACAACTCTGGACTTTTAGGTTCAACAACCTCACACGTGCTACCCACTGTGCTACTTCTCTGTTCACTCCCCTGGGAGACAGGAAGGAGATCAGGCAATCCCACAACAATAGGTTCCCCTGCACTGTCATCTAAAGTTGGCACTATGGTTGAATTAACTAAGTTTCTATTCTCCATTTGTGTCTGTGACTGAGGTGAGGAGACAGGAGGTACAGAAGGCACTATGGGAGGCTCCTTCTTCAGGTCCTGAGAACCACCAAGTACTGCACACTCTGTGGTGGGCAGCTCCTCCTGCTGCACTTCAGCCAGGTCTTGGCTCACAGCCTCTTCCGCCCCAGCTGTTGCCATGCTCTCCTTCGGGTCAGCTGCCCCTACTTCACCCACATCATCTGTTTTCCCTGCAACAATGGAAGAAATTATTTACTGTATCAAAGCTGCCCCTAGTCATTAACTAGAGAGATAAAAACAATGTTGACTTGTGAAAACAACCAAAAAATACATCTATCTAAAAGCTTTTCAATCAATATATAATCTCAATAATCTCCTGAAAAAGTACGACAACCATTTATGCAGTTTTGTAACAAGAGTTGTTTATCAGAAAAAAATCTGATTTGGGTATGGGAATGACATATAGTATATAGATATTAATTCTCATTTACTGTTATATTTCCACAACTCTATTTCAAATATTCTATACCACTATGAAAAAATAATTAAAATCTCGGCGTTAAAGAAAATATTCCTGAATATTTCCGTATCTCTATAAAAATGCAGCTTAGGCTTATTTTACCCACATTTCAATTAATCATAAGAATATCACAAATATCTGGCATGTAAATTGTACCAAATGATACAATAGTACAAAATATATATATTTGGTGCCTCAAACTTTTCAGTAAATTCTCTCTTCATACTGAAAAATTAAGACATTGTATCAGCAATATTTCTGAAAAGTACTCACTAAGGAAAACATTTTGCTAATATAGAATTTAAGACTAGGCTTCATTTCTTTACAATTTAGTTAATTACTGACTGCAGTAATTTCAAACAATATGAAGTACGTATGGTCTCAATATCAAATATGATTGTGAAACATCAACATATTGTGACATAACAATTACATTCTCTTTGTACAACTAACAAACTAGAAAATGCAAGGTAACGATAGCAATCCCACAAACATAGTATGTTATCATCATTTTTCTACAACCCAAAAATATACAGAAAAACAATTGCCTTTTTTTTCTAATCAAGTAAACTTTAGCTGAATCAAACCTAACCAAATTCTCACTATATCTACATCTAAAATTATCCCATTTATCGTTCCCCTACACCGTTCAGCTTCAGAATTTTAACATCACAGCATTATCCTTCACTATTGCAGATTCATCTCTAGAGCTGCAAATATTATTTTAGCTGCTTTACAAGGCAGTATGCTTCAGTTTTGTCTACCATAGCACAGTCTGACTGTCCATATTTCTAGAAGTTTTCATAGATTTTAACCACAAAAAAGAATCACATAGAAAAACCACCATAAATAAACAGCACAAGACATAAAAAAGTCTGTAAGTAACTCTTACTGAAAAATGGTATTAACAATCCTCCTAACAGATTTCCAAGTTCTTTTGCCTGTCCAATAATGTACTTTAAATTAACCCATTGACACTAAAAACATATTTATAAGTTCAATGTCCACTGTTCTTTTCTTCTCTCTTCTTTTTTTTCTGCACATGAACTCCTTAATAACTGCTGAGTCACAAAGTAGTCAATTATAAAGCCTGATTCTATCTGTTTACCCCATTCTTTGAACTTTAAGAGATTTTTACTTTTATTACTACTTTTACTATTCATAGTGCTAAAATAATTCACATGATAACCAAAATAACAATTTCCTGAAAAAATAAGGAAACCAGTTAAGATGCTTGTTACCTGACTTTAGGCCTATCGTCTCATATTACAAACCGTTCAGCTCGCCTATACAGAAACAAAATTAATAACCCAAAAACCCCAGTGGACAGACTAGATACCCAGTGCCAATGGGTTAAGCCAGTGCAGTGAGGTCAATAATTAAAAACAAATCAGCTGCAAGAATATTAACGTGAGTCAGCTAATGGTGAAACCCTGATTCACCCTTCAACTCCATACAGCAACAACTGTTCACAAGGGACACTTGAATTCTGCTAACCAATGCATATCACTACGAGGTCCCTTGCAAGGATTTACCTACAAATGAAGGGCTGATGTCACTAACCTATTAAATTTTATGTAAAATACTTGTAGGGTTAAATTACAAAAAAAAAGTAAAGACAATTAGAAAAAAACAGAATTAAGATCATGTTCTAAATTATCAAAGTCAAAACCTAAATCTCACTCAATATATATACATATATATATATATATATATATATATATATATATATATATATATATATATATATATATATATATATATATATATATATATGTATAAAAGCAATGATATACTGAAAGGACACACATTAATCAAGAGCCAGTAAAATATTTTAAAGAAGATTTCTTCTGCATAAAATAGAAAACATATTTTAAGCAACAGAAACATCTACAAACAATTATATTTCTATAGGCCACATTAATAAAACTGAGTTGAACAAAAAAATGTATGCTCAACAAGGCTTATCTTTTCCAGAATAATGCCATGAACAGACCAGCAATTAATTCAGTAAGGCACTGGTATTCATTGATGTTGTCACTTTCTTTTCCTTAAATTTTGTAGACATTTGGAACAACCGAAGAACAAAACAAGCTCTCATAAAGCATCCACCTACAGATATCAGAACAACCTTTAAAGTGCAAGAAAACTGATGATTATCGCAAAAATTGATGAGTAATTAGAAGACACACTTGCATTTGGTCAATGACTCACGATTACTGGAGAAGTCACAGCACCTGTCTGCATTTTAATAGCCAACAAACCTCCACCATGTTTACTCTGGCAAGATAAAGCTTGCAGACCTAGAGATCTATTGTCAAATAAGGACCTATTCCTGGATTATTCTTACCAGAATATATATGATGGATGATAGTTGGCTAGAATGCATAGTTCTAAGGCTGCAGAAATCACTTGACACTGCACCAGTACAATATCGCACTGAATTAAACTATAACTACAGGCCTTTCATTGCAGATAAAACACAGAATTACAATAAAAAGCACCAACTTGAAAGTGATTGCAAATGTTTCACAAACTTTCACCTGAATACCCCATTGCAAACCAATATGTCAGTCACCTATGCATACAATTCATATTAGCAAAGGTGAAAGTATTGCACTATTCTACAAATGTGTTACTTTTATATCCTATTTCCATTACTTCCATTAGTAAAGATGAGTACTATAAATTCCCTTTAAATATTGAATTAGCTCTGTCTAGAGGCGCCTCAAAGATACCATAAAATAATCTTCACATTATCTAAGATTACCTGCTTACAGATTACAAAAAAGCCAGTGTCTTTTGTTGTGCTAAAAAATAAATAAATAAAAAAAAAATAAAAAAAATAAAAAAAATAATATTGTTGTAACACCAGATACTAATATAGTACTTAGAGTAAAGAGTAACAGCATGAAACCTCCAAGTGGTGAACGGTTCTTTAAACTAAAATTCTTTATGAGTAATATTTTTACTCTCGAAATCAAGATATTTATGCCCCTGTAGAATTCAAAATCTTCTCTCCCCATTCTTATGTTCCCATTATCTTTTTCTCCTATGGCACATGAAATGATGAAAGACTGGAAAAATATTTACAAGCCAAAAAACATTCCCTATACATTCACTCACACATCTACCATCGCTTTCACATTATTTGGCCCTCTGGCAAAGAACATCTCTTCCACATATTTTCTGGCAAGAGAAGCTTATAGAACACTGCAGCAATTTATCACTATATAGCAAAGCATTCTAACTTCTACCCTGCTACTATATACATCATGGAAGTTTATAGTAATTTGTCGGAACACCAAAGGCCATGGCAATCTCTTGACACTAAGCCACTATAAGGGTTAGACTTAAGAATTCAGGTCTTCAATCATAGATCAAAGTAAGAATTTAAATGGAACTGGACTAACATTGCCAAAAAATTACAAAAAGGGTGTGGTAAATTTTCAAACCTGGACTACATCAGGTAATACTATTTTCTCCTCATGGCTAGAGTTAAGTAACTCTACAACACTATACATCACACACAGGAAGAAAATTAAAGATATAGTTTAAAATAATATATTACGTGAAGAACAATAGGTACATGAACTAAACTTTTGCACTACGTCAGTCTTTAAAACAAAGCTTCTTACTTTTTCCACATCAATTTTTCAAGATGGCATTTATTCACTTGTTCAAGAAATGTTAAAAATAGCTTTAAGTACAAGACTTTGATTTATGATGGAAAACCTACAACCCTGAGTCTAGCCAAACAGAGGTGCAATGTTAAACAATTGCCACAGAGTTGGTATTACATTCTCTGGCAGATGACAGGAAGTCTACCTCATATGTTCTGGCTAGATATATCTTGGCCTTGTTTCTTATTTGGCAATAAATCAGCAGTGAGGTCTACAAGTTTTGATGCCAGATTATATGTAGTGGAAGTTTGTGAGTTTGTTGGCGCAGATGTCATGCCGATCAGCATAAAGCCATTGTCGGATATGCAAGTACCTTCTAAACACTTTCCATTTACTTCCTTCTTATCATAGAATATATATATTCAAGTATTAACCCCATGCCATTTCATCTGAAACTTATCTAAATTCTTATGCTTTCCTTCTTCTGATATTCCCATAATAAGTCAAAACATATAAACCACAAGAGAACAAAAAAAAAAGGTACCGTTCTATTGAAAAATTAGAAAATGTTAAGCTCTCCAGTAAAACAGTTTTCTCTTTCACACTTTCACATGCACAAAATATGGCACTTTACAATGGGGCTTGAAATATTTGAAATATCCTTTCCACAACTTAACTGGAAGTTTAACAAATAAACTTTCCACATCTCTAATAATTACAAGTTTTCTCTTCTCTCAAGTTCAACACAAACATTTGGTTCATTTCCATTACTTTTTTAGTCTTATGTCTTCTTAAAAATGACACACTCGCCACCCAAAGGCCTTGTGAAAGAGGTCTTCTTTGGAACACTTCAAATGCTTCAGTCTTTTCTAAGCACAAAACCAAGAAACGAGTAATCATTTTCTTAACAGGATTAATCTTCTTCTTTTTTTTAATATCATATTCATACATTGTAAATATATATACGAGTTGTATATGAAAATACAATGGGTGTTAGAAATCTTATCCAAATATTATAAAGAAGTCACTGTAAAACGTCACCCAAGTCGCACCTCGCTGCCCTCCTGCCACATCAA